CTCTCTCTCTCTCTCTCTCTCTCTCTCTCTCTCTCTCTCTCTCTCTCTCTCTTGCTCTATTTTTCTCTGTCTCTTTCCTTCTGTGTCGTGGTCGCCCCCTTCCCCCCGATTCCTGCACGACTCCTAGACACGTCTCTCTTTCCACTGTTCGTTTCGTTCCTTCGTCTCACCGCCACGTCTCTGTCACTTTCAATTCCGACCCCTCCATTCCTCGCTGCTCTCCTTGTCGCGACCCTGCCGACCTCTCTATTTCAACCAACATCAACCCCCCGTCTCTCTTCCCCTCTCTCTTCCTTTCTCTCTTGCCCCCTCTTGCTCTCCCTCTCGCTCTCTGTCCCCCTGCTTCCATCTACACTCGTCACTCTCTCTTTTTCTATTTACTCTCCCTCCGTACATTAATTTTTCTCCGTCCTTGTCTCAGCCCCACGCGGTTTCTGCTTGTCACCCTTTCTCCTTGTCTTGCTCGTTGCACCAGCACTCTTGCCACCCCTCTGCGTCCTCAAGCTTTGCTCCGTTTCTCTCGCGCGTACCCGGGTATGACAAGGTGGGGGGCCACGTGCTCTCGCTACCCCAGTCACGCGAGGGTAGGACACGTGGTATGTATACCCGCTATACGGCGGTGCATAGGCGTGGAAACGCGTGTATTTTCCACGCGGCTTTTTAACGGAACGGTTAAAAAATAATAGAGCGAGGGCTAACCTTACTCTGTTCCCCGGAATTGATTAGTTCCTCCAGCTGTATCCCGAAAGAAATTGACTGGTAGTCGCGAGAGACGAATCTTATGTAACATTCTCCCCGTGCAATAGATAATTGACAAAGGAAAACGTTGAGGAAGCGACATATTATCCTTCTAAAATTAACGATTCTCAGCAGAACCTTCTCGCGCCTCATCATTACATCTCAATTTTTCATGCTGCACCGACGACTCACTTCGAGAAGTGTTAAACCGTGAATTCGCAATGCATGCCGTGCGCGTTCCTTTTTTACCTTTTCCTTGTTTTTCAACGCGAAATGACGTGCGACTGAGTCATCGCGACTGCACGTCGCGGAATCGCTCAAGGAACAGCACTCGGGTAATCGGATTCGCTTATCTTTCCGAGAGACCAAGGAAAAAGAGATACTTCCGAACTAAACTAAATAGACTGAACGGCGCGCCAGTTAACGACTCGAATGCAACTGTTCTCACGTTGCCCAGAAATGTTCAAAATCCCGCGCGCATCGACATTCGGACAATATACCACGATATATACGGAATATTCAATCTCCGAGAGTGCGAATCCATGGACGACAGAGTGTCGCGGCGCGGAGTTCGGGAACTCAGCGTTACGAAATCGCGACGACATTGCGGGCCGGGCATTCCGATTACAGCACTTTGCGAGGAAGAGTCGCGAGGCCGATAAGGGAAAAAAGAAGAATACGCGGCGAAGGTAGGGATACGTGACGACTACGGAGAGCGACGGAGCAGAGAGTCGGCAACGGGAGTTTAAGAGTTGTTGCTTACGTAAGCACGCGTGCAGATAAGAACGTGCTTATCTGAAGAGAACGTCGTCATGCGGGCAACCTCGTGCCAAGGTATGAAATCGTAACGGCGCGATTTCGATCCTGCGAAAAAATCAGACCCGTCGCCCGCAGCGCGGCGCGACATCGATAGGTCGTTGCGAGGTTGCGAATCGTCAATCGGGTTGCGAGTAGTTTTGAGGCTCTCAGTTCTATAATTATGTCAATATTAAGATCGTTGGGGGTGATCCCTTATTCGGCAGTTTTACCGTTAATTATTTTTTTAATTAATTGTATCGTGTTTTGTTGACGATTAATATGAGCGTTATTGTTGATTAATATTCAACTAAAGGCCGCTTAATTGGCAATTAATTTTTTAACAAATTTAATAAAAAACCGTTCAGTTGACGATTGATATGAGCGAAAAGAATTAAAGATTATTTAGTTAATAATTGAACTTAAACTCAATTAAAGGCCGCTTAATTGATGATTAAACTTAGCAGATTTAATTAAAGAACGTTTAATTGATGATTGATATGAGCAAATTTAATCAACGGTTGCAACGGACGATTGATATACCGAGTGTTCCTTTTAACGCAGGTCCTACTCGATCATCGGTATTTTCCAAGATGCCATTGAGAATGAATATTATCCACAACACCGATTGTGTAACCTTGAGTAGTCGAAAGCTCTTCGATGGAATTGATCGGATTTGCTCATATCGTCAATTAAACAGCCTTTAATTAAATCTGTTAAGTTCAATTGTTAGTTGAACGATCTTTGATTCCCTTCTCTCATACTAATCGTCAATTGAACAGTCTTCAATTAAATTCGTTGGAATCAATCGTCAATTGAACACTCTCCGTTGATTTTGCTCGAATAAAAGCTTTCGCTTCGCGTCAAATAGTTAAACTGAAATATATTTATTCAAATCAATTATTAAGCCGAGAAAAATTTAATTAATATTTTCACAACTCTGGTCGTCAATAGGACGTTCGATCCGGGATCAACAACAATCGGTCCACTTTCTCGGCCGCGCGCGCGCGCGCGCACCTCCGTGATCAATAAGTGAGGTTCCGTTTAATTATTCCGCCGCGTCCTGTTCTTCGCGAATAGGTCGCAGAGAATAAGACACGAACATCGATTCGCGACGGACGACCCGAGGGTAGGAGAAGAAGCGGTGCCGCGTACAGCGCGGTGCCAAGGATAGAAGAAAATATCAAGGAGAAACGGGCAATTGAGTTGAACACGGAGATCGAATCACCGTAATATGCGCGTTGCATAATTAGCGATCTAGCCGGAGATCCATCTTTGTTCCATCGCGCGTCCGCATCCTTCGCGTATCGGAAAACATCCTGGGAAGAAAATTGCCAGCTACCTGATGTTCCCCTTGTGCGCAGAGAATCGCAACTTCGAGAGACCATCGTCTTCTTGCCGATCACTTTCCCAGACAGATTTTTATGATTACCACGACGTGAGACGACTGACGTTGGAAATTCGCTCTCCCTCTCTCTACAGCTTTTCTTTTCTAATTATTCTCATAAAGCAAATATACTGTATTAAATTAAAATTGATATCATATATTAAATTAAATCTTTTATTATATTGATGCAGATTTTACATAACAAATTTAATCATTCTTTTCGTACTTTAATGACTTCGTCATTTTATACATTAAAAATATGCCGTAAGAATCACTCATAAGGGTCGCAATCTTTATAAATCGACTAATAAAATTGCTGCCAAGGTACAGTCTGAAAATGCTCCCACAAAACTCATCCCAAATATTACGGACAATCTTTTGTCCGCGACTATACACCTGTCTATTTGGGGCGCCTCACTCATTCGTCATTTCTCATCGTTTCTCATTGATTCGTATATATATTCCGAAACTCTCTGCTGATCATTCGGATCCATCAGCATCCCGCCAGCGTTCCACATCTCTGGAATGATTGTTTCAAGTAACAAAGTAAGCCGCCTTTCAAGTAATACCTCGTTATCTGATTGCGATCTGTAAAAAGTTCCCACGGTGCTTGGGCACACCTGTTTGTCTAGGAAGTGAACGCTACAAATCGCGGGTTTCATGGTCGCCGTGGCTGGTTGCATGGCTCCCTTACCCTATCAACAACTGCACACTGGTCGTATCGATATATCACAGTGACGCTCAAACGCGGCGTATGCAATTACGCAATTGGGCGCGTTCAACTTGCGTCGCTCGACATTTATCAATCGGGCGTCCCAACGACCTTTCTCGAAACTAACGTTCCTTGTAAGGAATTCTTGTAGGGTCGTTCGGCCACGGACTCAAGAAATTTTTCATTAACATCACACAAGTTAAGTAAATATAAATCCCCCTTGCGACTGCCTTTCGATCAACTCTCTCAACTTCAACGTTCCCCGCAACTCGTTATATAAATGTCCCGTTCCTGATGTATTAAGAAATAGGCCGTATTCGCTCGTGTTCTCCTCCGGTCGCTTGCCACACGAGGTAGGGCGATCCAATTGGGGTTCGAATAGCCCAACGTGGTGTGGCCTCCCCTTTGAGTTCCCGCTGCGATCAATACTCGCGCGATGCCAAAGCCAAGCCAGACTACAGACTCGCGTTCTCTCTCTCTCTCTCTCTCTCTCCCTCTCCCTCTCTTTCTCTGTCTTGCTCTCTCTCTCTCTCTCTGCCTCTGTACTGAGGTCTTCGTGATGCGAGAGTGTCCTTGACAAGCGTTAGCTGGTCGCCCGTTGCGAAGTCGTCGCTTGTAGAATGCGGCAGAATTCAAAGGTCGCGTATAATCTATCTTATGGACTCGATTATCCGGCGTGGTTGACTTTACCGCTAATGTAACGTCGGTTAAGTAACAATTTATGAGCACCGAACAATCGAACGCCAAGAAGTTTTCTCGCTGTTGAAAACGAACGTGCGCGCACACACACACACACACATCGACGGCGCGACGCACTGCGTCACGCGTGACTCGATATATTCGTCTCCACCTTGCACGGTAAGAAGAGAAAAAAGAAAGAGGAAATAAAACTCCGCTCCCGCGTCCAATACCCTTTCCCTTTCCGTTAAGTTTTGTTTGTGTGCATACATCGTCGTCATCGTGGCCTTCATCAAGGTGTGCGTACCATACGCGGCTTCCGATCATGAACAATGCGCATTGAACAGATGCATCCGTGCAGATGCAGCCCACCAAACAATACAAAATATTCCGTAAATGTTCTTATGAAATACGAATGTTCTTAATTCCTGAATATTCTCGAATCGGATATATTCTACGAATATACGTATACAACATTGTAGACAGAGATTCGTACATTTATAATAGAAAAAAAAAAAACACTTTTGGGACACTCGTAAACTTATCCTAATGGATAAACAGACCTCCGCAGGATATCCTAAAGACGTTCTGAAAACGTCCCCAGAATATCCTTTGGAGATGTGCTGTCTGGATATCTGCTGCGCATGTCTGCAATGCATTCTGAAAAGTTCCCCAAATGTTCGAAATAGTAACATGCATTTATTATTAATGAAATTTACTACTAATATAACTTAGTAATGGAATATATTTACATAATAAAGTATCGAAATTGTTTATTTATAATTGTAAAACAAAATTGATAATTAAGTTACATTTTGTTAATGTTTTATGCATGTGCATAGAACATTTATTCAAATACAGTATTTTGAATATATTTGAATATATCTGAGTATATTTATCTTTATCGTTCTTCACATGAAGAACATAGAATGAGTGCTTCCAACATAAGTGTGCAAAAAGTATGCAAAACAAACTTAGTCAAAATATTATCTAAAAATCTCAGTGTATTCGCAGTGCATTATGCAAAATGAATTTAGCTCTTATATAATTTGAGTTAATTTTGATAATTTGTTTCATATTTCTATTTTACTACTCTATGTAATAAATATAAATACCCCACCATTTATGCAATTTGCACAATTCAACTCGTGAAGTTGCTGCCAAATTGGCGTACAATTGGTTGCGAAATAATTTAGACACAATGAAGTTGAGACCTCACCAAACTGTCAAAATTGAAAGTCATTACTGATGAAATTGCCTAGTAATTATTTAAATATTATTGTTATTGAGTATTATTATATATTATTATTTAGTGCTCTTTATATTATTATTGTGTAAGACTGTCAATACTGCTCTATTTTGACAGTTTGGTGAGCTCTCGACTTCATTGTGTCTACATTGTTTTGCAACACACTGTGCATCTGTCTACCTGTATCAATATATTAAAGAAAAGATATGTGTTTTCTCGGGGAAACAAATCGCCAAAAATAGGCCACGTCAAGCGCGAAATCTTCGCGAGAACCGATCCTGAGAACCGTTTCTCATGTAGAGGGTGTCTTGCGAAGAAAAAGGAGAAACTTTCACCGCACCGATACGCTCTGTTAGGACACCCTGTGCGTACGTACGCGCGCACGCGCGTTGATCGAGCAACGGGAAGCTCTCATCCGCGTGCGCGCGAACGCACGACGCGATACATAAGCGCCTACACACACAACCGAGGCACACGCTCACACCACGAAACATACACACATACACTTACGTGCTTCACGCGCACAAGCGCGCGGTGGCGAACAAAGAAAGAGCCCTAGCGACCGGCAATGCGGCAACGGCGAGCGCCTGCGCGCCGCTCTATGTGAGTCAAGGACGACACGTGCGGCTACGAACGACCTACTTATATCCTCGTCACTTCGTGCGCGATCGCTCCGGTGTACGAACTTTCCCGAGCGCAGAAATAGGACGGCCGGCGAGCCGAGTCCCGACGTTTTACAGAGCGGCCTAATCCCTTCCTCTCCTCGCCCCTCGTGCCCTCTAACCCCTCTGACCCCGCTGCTCGGAGCCTTCCGCAGCGCCGCGTCGGGCTGGTTAATCGACTGAGCGCTACCGCGGGGCAGACCGCCACACGCTTAACCCTTTCGATCGAACCACGTAACGAACATTACGCTTAACATCGCTGGTAGAGCGGCGAATATCTGTTACACGTATTGGAAGGATAGATTTCGAGCTCGAAAGATTACATGTATCGGAAGCGTTACGATCGATCACGCTTTGCCTACGCTTTCACAACAGGCAGGCCGATGGCGCGAGTGACTGGTGTCGAAAATACGTTTAAAGACGAACAAAAGAGAATTGAGAGAGCACGGATCCCTTTCGCATAGTGATACAAGTTACAATGTTACAGCGTTTAACAAGACTCGTTGCATTGGTCTCTGTTTCTCATCGCCGAACAGTTAATTATCGTTCCGTTCAATGCTCGGTGGGCCGATCTGAGAGTGTTACGTAACACTATGATAATCTCTCTCTCTCCCTCTCTCTCTCTCTCTCGCTCTCTCTCGCGCGTACTCCCTCTCACTCTTTTGTCCTCTTTCCTCCTTCCATCCCTCCCCGCCCTTCTCTTCCTCCCTCACTCTCCCCTCTCCCTCTCTCTCTTTCTCTTTCTCGCTTACACAAAACACTCTCCCCTACGCACGCTTTGTCGGAACGTGGTTGATCGCGGAAGACCCGTTTCACGCAATTAATCCATCATGTGATAACCGGAGCTGCTTATTTCATAAGTATCATAAATAAGCAATTCGGATGACCAATTCGGAAAACAATTTGCATGTTCAATTTGAATACTTTTGTTGTTATTTGGAGAGGCATCTTTCACCGATTGTATCACGTACAAACTGACGTTACGGCCATTTTTCTATCGATCGGCTGCCGGTTAGCACAGGTATCCCTAAGCATAGGTGCGATAGAGCACGAGGTCAGCACGAGGTCTCAGCGTTCTGGGAGTGGCGGAAATCTCGACGGCCGGGGCCGGGGCCATCGAGATGCCCTAGATGCGGAACCAGGCGAGATCGATAGAAAAATGGGTCAAAGGTTCGGCCGCCGCGCCTTCGACGTAAGTAGCGGAGCGTTTCGCGGTAGAATGAACGATAGGAGACGGAGCTGGCGAGAAGGAGTAGTTCTTGCTAGAGACAGTCGTTTCCTTCCTTCGTCTCTTTTTGCGACGAGCAAAGGATGTAGAGCCACACCCGTGAGAGGTATATTATAAAGATTAGAGAGAGGTGCGTTACACGATTATTTCACCGTTGCGATCGCACGTGCAAAATTCTCATTTCCCGATAGAGATCACCTCCGATAAGTAGAGTGTGGACGTGGAAATGTTGCACTGTAGTGGCGATGTCTGCCATCGTGTACATTAGGTTAAACTGAACGAGAAAGTCCTGTACGATTTTCCTCAGAACTTCGTAAATGTAGAATTATTAATTGAAGAAGATTGGCGTATGGTTGCTCGCGATAATATATTAATGCTATCTGATTAATAACTAAAAGTCTACAAAATTATTAGGAATAAGGTAGAGGACTTTTTTTGTTTAATTTGATCTAATGTACAAGCACACGTCGGCAGATGTCGCTACTGCAGCTCATCTATCATATCTCGTGTGACCATTTACAAATCTTCCTTAACATCTCGATAATTATTGCGAACATCGCAAAATGGTATAACACTTTTACGTTTACCTTAATCCGTATTATACCTTCACGAGAGCTTCGGAAGTTATTCTGGGATACCCCGTATAGCTCATGAGAAATCGATGTTGCTTGGAAGTAATATTACCAAATAAACAGCTAACGCCTCGAATATTTTATTGATTAGTAAAATTATTTAGAAAGTCAATACATGTTTTATTCAATTCTAACGTAAAATGCAGACCAGAAAAAAATATTGGGAAAATTTTGGGTTTTGCATATAAACGTAATGTTTCTAACCAAAACCCATAATTATTTTGGAGAATCAGACTGGATCCTAATTAACTCTCGCAATAAACTTTCTCTGCGGGGATTTTAGATTTACGCAACGTGGAACCTCAAGACCTCGTGTGAAGTATATCGGTTAATTGCATCGCGTCGTAACGCGATGTTAATGATCCGATCCGACATTTCGTGGGCGAAGATGCGAGGCATAAGCCGAAATCGTCGGTCCACATGCATTATTAAGGGTTTACCATTTAATGACACTAATCGACTCAAGCATCATCCTACCTTGTTTCCTCACTGAACACAAAACAAAAGCAGAACGACGCTCGTGTCGATCTGTGTTACCAAATAGATGCAGCACCGACAGTCGCGTATAACGCTGAAAATTGCGCGCGGGATTTCTAACGCTGTCCGGCACGGCTGTACCCATCTAATCTCGCACGACGCGGTGCGGTCTTTGCGCGAGCAAATCAATCTTCCGGGCCGAACCGCGGCGCGACGTGCCGCGGCGATTGGCTCTTTGGACTCGCGGCAGTTCGAGTCCAAAGGCGGACCGCGCGGTTCGATTCCGCCGCCGTTTCTTCCCACCCGGGGCATAAGTAGCGGGTTTCCGCGCGCGCCGCCGCCAGTTCCTGTTCGGTTGTCGTCATAGTCGCGCTTTGGCGAGAGTGAATCCACCTCCGTGTTCGTGCGTGTACGATACACACACACACACACACATACATACCATCAAGCCATCGCGCGCCACCGATGGAAAAGATACCGCGCGCTCGCGTTTACACGTGCGTTTACCATTCGTCGTACGTGTCGCATACATTGGCGCGCGTCAGTGCGAGCGAGAGAGACGGAGGGAACGAGAGACAGAGACGGGACGCGGGCCAGGTCGCGAGTGTACGATTCTTCGTTAGTGTGTGCGCGCGGGAGCGAACCAATCGCGATCCGACTAGCAACGACTCGCGACCAATCGCAGCGGGCAACAGTGCGCTCCCGCGAGTGCGCGCCATCGGCCGGATGCGGCGGGTCGCGGCGATTGGTGGGGAGCGGGCTGAGAGTGCGGCACGGGCTACGCGTCGGAGCGCATCCTCGTTCGTCGCAGCTCGCCTTCGAGTTCGGTCGTGTTTCGCGCGAGTCTCGCTCCGCAGGAGTTCTCGTCCGGCACCTAACGCAGACGGCCATCGCGTGCCCGCCTATCGTCTTCTTCGGGCTTCATTGGTCGAGCTACCGCGGCCGCCTACAGATTCCACGGGAAAACACCCGGTTTTTCTTTTAAATCTCTGACTGGGATTTGTCTCTTTCCGAAGATTTAAAAGAAATACTGCGGCTACGTATCGCTGGAGGAACTCTGAATTCATCGTTGGAAGGATCTAACCGGAGAGAAAGAGAGGGGGGGAAAAAGAGACTTAACACGAAATATTCAATCGGATCACAGAGGCTCGGAAAGACTTCAAGAGAAGCGAGCTTCATCGAAATCTCGATCGAGAGAGCCGCATATCTGAGTATTCTCACTGCCTGGCGGCAAGAAGACGTCAGAGCAGTACGAGTTACTTTTTAAGCGCGTATGGTCACGTCTTTCAGCGAAGAAACCATTTCGCGACAGAAAAAAACTTTTAGTGAAATTTCTGCTGAAAGTTTTTTTTCGGTCTGCTGAACGGTTTCTCCGGGTGGTGGTAATCTCCGGGGAGGAAAGAAGAGCGGAAAGGTGAAAGAGTGATCCCAGTAAGGATAGATATTCATTTTAGAAGAAGGAAAAAAGAAGAAGAGGAACACCGACGGAAACCGCAAGCGCCGCCTGTACGGTGTTGCCCGCGAATTCTGCGTGCGTGGCGTGACCGGAAGCAGAGACGCGCATATCGCTCTCGAATCGTGCTACCACGCGGTCGTGCGTATCTTCAAATTCGAATTCTTTTCTTGTGTGTGAGCATCGTGACGATTTAGGTGCCATCGGGAAAGATTCTGCTTTCTCTCGAGAAAGAGAAAGAGAGAGAAGAAATCGAGGAGGAAAGAAGAAAGAGGCGAAGAGCGAGTGAGCGAGCGAGCGAGAGAGAAAGATAGAAAGGAAGATGGTCTTTTCGTCGTACTTGTCTCCCCCTCCTCCCACGAAAGCGGGACTTTAAAAAGTACGCGACCCATTGACCGCGACCGTTTAACCCATTTATCGCAGCCTTCGGACTCTCGTTCTTCTCTGTCTTTCTCTCTCTCTCTCTCTCTCTCTCTCTGTCTCTCTTTCTCTCTCTTCCTCTCTCTCTATATATATATATTTATATCTATTTTTCTTTCCCCCTGTGTCTCTCGCGCACGCCTAGTATCATTGAACACTTCCGACCAACGCGACGTGTGCAGTGAGTCGAGATCTAGCAATCGATCTTCGTGCGACCTGTATTCCTGCCGGAACTCTCGAAACTCTGTGTTACGAGAAAGGTGAACGCAAACCACACTAACTCTACGGCCGATTGTTGGTTCTTTCGTTTCTCGGATCATCGACGAATCGTAGTTTCCGCGATTTTGCTGCTACTGCATGCTACCTTCAAGAAAACAGCCCTCGTTTTCCATATTTCCGCCGGTTTAATATGGACTCTATAATTATTAGAGTTTTCGAGCTTTGAGAACTTGTCGTTTTTTTAACAGATCCACGAAGGCTCCTTGTATCACACGTAATTCTTGTACGTAGCAAGACCTACTGACCCACCGCGCGGTAAACTCGATAGTTCCGCGAATTCTCGACTCCAATTGTTCTCCACTTTCGTGTTCGTGCTCGGTGAGAGCTTCGCGCGACGGGATAGGAGGACTCTGTTGAAAAAGAAGCTGATAAGAAATGAAGACTTAGAAAAACAGAAAAAAAGTCGGTGGCCCGTGATCTTTCTCTCTCTTTCACACACTCTGTCACTCATACATATACACACACATATACATACACACATATATACACCCATTCCCGCGCCTCTCGCTCACTTAGTGAGTAAAGATGGCGGCCCCCTCTCACTCGTTGGTTCGCTTAGCGAGCTCAGCGAGAGGGGCCGAACTGTGTGACGCAACCGTCGCTGTCACGTGACCGTTCCGTGGCTCGAGCTCGCTCGCTGGGCCAGTGTGTGATCTAACGTTTGTTACCGCGGCTGACGGCGGAGGATACGCACGGCGGAGGGCGCAGCAGGAAGCAGCGGAGACGGGAAGGACCACCCCGGGCCGCCTCTCTCATCTCTCGCGCGATAACGGGCGGCGCAGGCTCTCTCGGTCGCTGGGTCAGTGGGGGTGAGAAACTGGCTTGGCTATGACGCAAAACCACAGTCAGTCTTTTTCTCTCTCCTATCGGCCCCGCGACAAAAGCGCGACCCGATATCCGGTTTGGCATCCCCCCGCGAGCGAAATCGACGCGCCGAAATATCGTTCCAGAGGAGAGACACTTGGGATGTGATCACGGCCAGAGCTGCTGCAGGGATATCATCGAGACTACGCAGAATCCTCCTCCCCGCCGCCGTTTCTAATACTTTTCCGTCCACGAGTCGAAGGAAAGGATGGGAAATGATGGCGGTGAGGACACAAGTTCCTTGATTCTGTGGATCGCGAAAGTAAAGTAGACTGACCTCCCCCCTCACGATTGTCAGTGTGTCATCTCGAATTCCCGCGCTTTTAACGTATCGAATTTCTCGCGGATGTTTCGGTTCCTTTCCCCCTCAACGCTACAAACACTCGATTCTATTGTGCTTTCTGCGATCCATGGGTCTCAAGCATCCCGAGCTCCAAGTTCCGTAATCCCAAGTCACCATCCATTCACACACCTAAACATTATCAACGTCTTTAAGGATCCGAGTAGACTTTTGCTTTCGAAATCATGCGTCCTCCTCAAATTCAAATTCGCGACATTCGAGTTCCTTCGAGGACACATTTGATTTGACTCCACAGACATTGTTTTGATCCTTCAGTCTCGAAACTCGAGCATAATTTATTCCTAAGCATCCTACCGGCGAACTTAGACCCACGAGATCGTAGATCACGGATCCGCGCAACTCAACATTCATACATACAGCACGGGCTCAACAGTGGAAGTCGTGTTCCCCCAGCTGTGACAAAAAACTATTGAAAGGCTCTGGGATCACGGAAAACACTGAGAGAGCATCGGCCGTACATCAACGGATTCTTCTTTCGACGATTCTCAGCGATTCATTCGCTGCTCCACGATTCACCGCGTTTCGCGCGTCACGGATCTCGGAGTATATTTACGCGATTCTCGAGCTATCGCTTCGTGCTCAAGTTTACGGATTACTATGTTTATACACAAACGTTGCAGAATTATCACTCTACTACTTCCACAGATCTCACAAAGATATTTTGGTAACACGAATATTTAAACGAGATAATTCTGGAACGCGTGCGCACACATTTGCACACATTATTATAGAAGTATACATGTCGATCTTTGTTCAACGGCGAACTTTGTTAATTTACTGTAGCCTATTTTCTTCCTTAGTTAATTATTACCGTAGAATATCCAAAAAACAGAATGTCCTACAAAAAGACATTAAAATAAAGGAAAATAATACCAAATGCATAAAATTACCATAAAATATCCGTTCTAAAAATGTCAAATGCGTATAAGAGTGAACTCTCTCGCTCTCTCTCTCTCTCTCTCTCCCCCCTCTCTCTCTCTCTCCATTCAATTTGCACTGCCTACGCTCCGGGCCTCGCGTTGCCCAAATACGCCGCTGGGGCTCTGTAATATCACGTCGAGATCCCGGGCTTAGACCGCCGCCGTTCACTTCTCGCCGCGTACTATACTTTCTAAAGCCGCTTACTTTCGTAACTCGCCGAGTCGCGGATTCTTTTTCCCGACCAGGCCGGAGAACCAGCCGGACCGACACGACGTTTTACACGGCATGTGTCTTTCCGCGCTGACATGATTTCTTCTTTTTTTTTTCCTCCGCTGCGTGGCCAACCGGATTGGGAAATTTCGGAATCGGCGCAAAGTACGTTCTCTCCCTTTTGCTTTGTCCTTTTTCACGTAGAATAAAGACGTGTAAGTGCATGTATCTATAAGTACAGATATAAATTCTACGCGTCTCCCGGTAGATCCGGATTCCCGACTCCACGAGCCTCCACAACTGCGCGAACTTGTGCTACGAGACTAATTTCTTATTTACTTACTTGGAACGCGTTTTCAGAGTCTCGGAGTTTGCGTTGACTACATCGCAGGAATTTACGATCAACTATTTTACGCAAGCGAGAGAGTCCCAGCCGAGACTCTCTCTCTTTCTCTCTCTCCCT